AAACCGAAGTGGTGCGATTACGAGAAGAAGTTGAGCGAAAGAAGCTGCTATCGGTATACTCTTCAGTGGCTTCGCCACCACCACCTCCTCCTCCAACAGTTGTACCGAAACAACCTCTGCGGAGTGGCTCCAATCACGCCACCTACTCTCTCCCTCTACAAAATTCACCCTCTTCTGAAGTTAACGATGCGGGTGGTGGACACTGCTACTGGCCGAATTGCTGCCACGTTGCTACCTCGCCTACTAGTCTTAATGCGTGAGTCAGTTTTTTAGTATTGCCGGAGATGTTGGGCAAGGAAAAAGGACAAAATAGCCTATGAAAAAAAGGTTTTAAAGGTTGGGTGTGGTTTACATTCAGCCCTCTATTCTAGATCGACCTAATCAACAGTTTACCTGAATAATTTAAGGCGTCTTCGCGAGTCTAGCACAGCTGCATGATAATGTAATCACTGATTGTTAAAAAGCCATTTGGTAAACCATTGCAACCGTCTACACGACACTCAAATTGACATGATGATGTGATGTGCTGACAGATGAAATGGGTATGCCATAGGCCAACACCACCACCACCGCCAACAACAACAACAACGCCACAAACAACAAACTACTACTACCACTGCTGCCACTACAATGGACAAATCATGTCACACAAACATCGAATCGAAGGCGCTGTGTCTCGCTCACCTCCCGAGGGGTGTTTGCCACACGTTCGTTGTGCTGACATTTGGTCATCTTTACCAACATGTTTATTTGTCTGTTTACTTGTTTGCCAGTTTATGCAAACACGTGTGCGTACCGCCCTTCTGCTTGCTAGGCAATGCATAAACACACACACACACACACACACAACACATCGTTTTGTGTGGGTTGAGGTTAGTGAGTGGTTGGTTGTTAGGTGGTCAGTTGAGTGGCTCATCCGCCCTCTCCTCTCACTGCATGCCGTCTCGTCTCTTCTGTGCTGTGACACTAATGGGTTCCATACATCTTTGCCTAATTGCTGTTTCGACGTCAGACGCCTCGCAGCCTCATCAACATGGAGATTGGCGCGTCCGGTCTGGACCTTCTCCTTCCATCACCGCTTGACACATTGTGTCGCCCCGTACGGGGGTGGGGGGTGGTGAGGTGAAGTTGGAGTGACGAGTGACAAGTCGTGGTGGTGGCGGTGGCGGTGGTAGAGGGGGGAGGAGTGGCACAGTACGTTCATAATGTCTCACGCTCCTTTGGACGGTGTTGGGAGGAGTTGGAGGAGGAGGAAAAATCTCGCCCTCTTCCCCACCTCCCACCTTGTAGGTGGTCAATTGTGCATGAACAAGAGACCCAACAGTGATGCAGTCAATCGGCTAAGGTGGGAGCAAACACCAACCAGCTGGCAGGCACCATTTGGAGAGGAAGGGTGGTAGGCAATCGGTCGGCCATCATACACTACATTGTCAACACTTTGTCTCCTTTTTTTGCAAAGGCATTTTCCGCTTTGCAATAGTATCATTGTGTGTTGTTTGTTGAAAGGGTGAAGACTTAGCAGATTGGAAAAGGAGAAATCCGTAAGAGGAGTCGACAGTAGTGTGTTGGAGGAGGAGGAGGAGGAGGAGGAGGAGAAGGAGTATCTGACATCGACCGCCTGATTTCTACCTTCTTGTTCAATGCTTTTCCATCTAATTTCGCACTTTTCCCATCGACCTTTGCTTTTATGTATCATTTTTTTATGATAAGGTACGGTGGTGATGTGCATTTACCACTGATGGGTCAGGCACATCTGCTTTTAACTTTTTTCAAAGAATGCATTTTTGCACAAAGAAAGGGAAGTGATTGTTATGCCTGCAAAACACGATCTCTAATTTGAAGCTGTGTTTGATATTGTGTCTTGGAAACGCGTTTCCTCCGTCATTCAAATCTACCCACCTATAACGATCTGAGTTTTATCCATGTAGTGAAGCAAGGAAGGTGTGGCGTTTTTACATGTTTAAGAGTTCTATCCAGGTACCATTGGCAGCTTCACAACAATAGTAACTATTGCTTTAATTGCCAATGAACTTCCTGTAGAACACAGGATTGAGGTTGTTGTCGACGATGGATATTACTTTACCGTTTTGATTATTCCCATTGCACATGCTTTCTATTAATCTCACTAATACTGATTCTCCTAGGAGAAGGAACCGGAATAAAAATGTTTGTTATTTTTTAATTTCACATTTTGCCACCAAAAATGTTCTTGTCTCGGACTTTTCTGTAAGGAAAGGACATTAAAGTGCT